CAGGGGGACAGGGGAGATTAGCCACTGGGTTGTACAATTTGATGAGTGGAGGGGTGAGGGAAATGGAAAGAATTTGTTCAAATTTGTATTCAAATTTTGTAAATAAACTAGTGGGGGGGGGGAACCCCAAAACAAAACCTTCCATGTGAGACCAAACTGGCTGGCTTAAATTCACAGATTTGAATCTGTTTTTTAAAAAAATAGCTCTCAGTTATGTCAAAAGCCAAGAAAATATGTATTATGATAATAAAAATGCTGTGTCGTTAGAAGTGAGAAGAGGCGGGAAGTAGAGGTCTACAGCAAAGATAGATTAATGGAAATGGCACAATCATATAGAAATAATTTGAATGTCGCATTGTCAAAAAAGTAATCAATGCCACTAAACAATATGTATAAAAATTGTTAAATCATTACTTTATGTGCTGTGTAAACATGCACTAGAAACACAGTTAGATATATCATGGATCATACATCCTCCCAAAACATGTGTCTATTTGGCTAGGCAATTCTCTGTATTGTATAATCACCCTTCATTGTGTGAAGTATTCTAATACGTAACATCTTCCTGGGGTTAGATTATGTTAATGAGGCAGGATTAGGGTGGGATGCATCATTTACTTAAGTCACCACACTACTCAAGTTCTTCCCTTGATCCTAAGGACCTACTGATGTATTCTAACCACCAGAGACGTGTAGCCTTTCAGGGAGACTACACTATCAGAACTCCTGTTATAGCCACACCAAAACCAGAAACAAAAATGTAATAAAGTTCATGATAAAGACTATGACTCCATCCTTTCTTACACTTAAAAAACTAATATTAAAAGACTTGAAAATACGGAATTCAGAGAGTCTCAAAGCTTCTTAGTCTAAGAAAAGATAGCCTCTTTTTTTATGACTTTGCTTGGGCAAACATAAGTCAACTTCTATAATGCATTTTGGATGTGTTCCAGGTTCTAAACTTGACTTTTAGGATTGAAATAAATTATTAAATATGAAACTATTGTAAAAAATCTCCTTACATTTTGGGAAGCAATATAAGCTACCTTCAAAAATGTTCCAACATGGTTACTGATATAACCACTATGGAAGGTAGTCTAGTGTCTCCTCAAAAAGTTGGAAATAGACCTACCATTTGACCCAGTTATCCAAATATCTCACTAATCAGTAGGGCGCCCTGGTGGCCTAGCGGTTAGAAGCTACACTACAATCCCAAAGGCATGCAGGTTGAATCCACCAGCTGCTTCATGGGAGAAGGATGGGCAATCTCTTACCATGCAATTCACTCACTACCTTTGAAAACCTAAGAGGGTCAGCTATGAGTCAGTTCCGACTTAATAGCACAGAACAACAACATCCCACTATTAGGAATATATACTAAAGAAACCTGAGCTGTAACACAAACTGATGTATGCACACCCATGTTTACTGTAGAACTATTCACTATAGTGAAAAGGTGGAAGCAGCCCCAAGTGTCCATCAACAAATGAATGGTTAGGAAAACTGTGGTATATTTACACAATAGAGTTATCACACAACATTGAAAAACAATGACCTTGTAAAATACTACACAACACAGATGAGTCTGAAAGACATTATGCTGAATAAAACATCTCAGTCACAAAAGGATAAATACTGCATACGAACACTCTAATAAAAGCAGGATTGAGGAGGAGTAGGGAACAGGAAAAAAGTGGATATGGACTGGAATAAGTGAAGGAAAAGACTACCTGGAAGAAATAGATGATTAGCCATTATATGTATGACAATTAACAATCTGGAACAAGATGTACATCACAAAGAGTACTGAGGGGAAAGAGTAGGGTGAAGAAGGACCATGTGTATCAATAAATGAATGAAAACCCAATCTTTCTATAAACTTTCACTAAAATTACAATTAGAAAATGGTAACGAAAAAAGAATGTCCCAACAAGTCTAGAAGTCACACAGTAAAATTACACGTGCATCTAATTGTATTCTAAATATTGTATGTTGTTGTTGCTATGTGCCGTCAAGTTGCCTTTAACTCATAGTGACCCCATGCACAACAGCCCTAAACCCTGTTCTATTTTGTGTCAATCTCACTGTCTCTGACACACTTACCCCCATTACCCCAGTCACTGAATCAATCCACCCCATAGAGGGTCTTTTTCTCCTGCACTCTTCCGCCACCCTCCCAAACATGATGTCCTTCTCCAGTGACTGGTCACTCCTTGCCACATGTTCAAAGTATGTCAGATGAAGCTTCAGAATCTTTACCTCCAAGGAGCAGCCTGGTTTAACCCTCTCCAAGATGAACCTGTTCGTTCAACACCACAGCTCAAAGTCATCAATTCTCTTTCTATCCTCCCTAGTCATTGTCCAACTCTCTAATGCATAGCAAGTGATTGCAAAGAGCATGGCCTGTATCAGGCACGCCTTAGTCTCCAGAGTGACACCACTGCTCTTCAGTACTCTGGAAAGGTCTCTAACAGCAGACTTTCCCATCGCAATACACCTTGCTTTCATAGTTAAAAAGTCACTTCTAAATATCTCTTGAAATACAATATTGTGAGTGACAGGATAATATCCATATGCATACAAGGATATGCACCAACAACCAGAACTAAAGAAGAGGAAACAGAAAATTTCTACCAACTTTTACAGTCAGAGATCGATCGAACAAGAAATGTAGATGTATTAATAATAATGGGTGACTGGAATGCAAAAGTTGGGAACAGAGAAGGATCAGTAGTTGGAAAACATGGACTAGGTGACAGAAATAAAGCTGGAGATAGAATGATTTAATTCTGAAGAATGACTTATTCATTGCAAATATGTTTTATAAGAAATATAAATGCAGGTTATACACATGGATTTCACCTGATGGTATGCATAGGAATCAGATTGATTACATCTGAGGAAAGAACTACTGGAGAAGCTCAATTATCAGCTGTGAAAACTAGGCTAGGTGCTGACTGTGGAACAGACCATCAACTACTCAAATGTAAGTTCAAGCTGAAGCTGAGGAAAATGAAATCAAATCCATGGGAACCAAAATATGACCTTGAGTCTATCCCACCTGAATTTCAGAACCATCTAAGGAACAGCTTTGAGGTCTTGAACACCAATGAGCAAAGACCAGATGAGTTGTGGGAGGATATCAGGAGTATCTTCCAGGAAGAGTGAAAAAGGTCATTACAAAGACAGAGAAGGAAGAAAAGACCAAAATGGATGTCAGAAGAGACTCTAAATATTGCACTAGAGCTCCAAGAAGTCAAAGCAGAAGGAAGAATTCAAGATATTAAAGAGGTGAACAAAAGATATTAAAGAGAAAATATTGTATATTCTTTTTTTTAAAAAAAATTTTCCACAGAAATCTATAAAGAGATATTTTATTTTACTTAAAGGCTATAAGTATTTCTAATTCCTCTTATTATCTATAATGGTCCTTGGAGAAGAACATCATGATAGGAAGAGTGGATGGACAGCACATGAGATCCCTCTCCTGACCCAGGATGTAATGGATTGATACAGTAACTGGGGCAATGAAGACTCGTGTGTCCGAAGTAGTGAGACTGGCTCAGGACAGGGAAGGTTTCAGAGCTGCTGTACACAGGGTTGCTATACACAGCAAGCGACTCAATGGCATATAAAAACAGTAACATACTATGACAGGTTTGAAAGCAGGAGTGGCATCCACTTCCTAAATAACATGCCTCTGGAAACCCTGTGAAATTTGGTAAATGTTGATAGTTGCAGAGGGGCTTTAAGCCTTTTGTTCATAGGGTCACTATGAGTCATGCTTGACTAGCAGGCAATCATGAACAACACCACAACAACATAATTATTGTCTATAATTGTCTTCCCTTATTCTAGTTAATCAGCATTTTTTTTATTAAACAAGAGCAAAAATTGTAAAACCCCAAATTGTTAAAATAACACTTTAAAAAAAAAAAAAAAAAAAGATACCCAGTTTTTCCCAGGTTAGCTCAATCAGGTAAACACTGTATATTCTTAATAAAACTCACTTGCAGTGACGAAAATAAACAATTTAAGATATTGTTTGATAAAATATGCTTTTATATATCCCTTTTCTCTCTCTCTGGGTGATCAAATTCATTTTCACCATCATGCATTTGTCAACCAACAAATAATAGTATAACTTTTGAACACCTTAAGTATCAGCAATTATATATATTACAATTATAAACACAAATATGTCATACATAACTTTCTACATGCTGAGTAAGTAGATTAAGAATAACAGGTTAATACATAACAGATATAGATAGATATTTCTTTGAGACAATTAGAGATATAATACATGGACTAATATATACATATGTATACATATATTATATAAAAATGCATATCTTATATATGTACATTAATATGTATGTATATATGCATATATTATATATGTACATTAACATTTATATGGATTAATATGCTTTCCACCTCTACTACATATAGTGCTCATATATACACATAATTTATATATATTGTCTAGCTCTCTTCACTGAATGGGTCTAATAACAATGGCACCATATTTGCAGATATAGAAGGAACAATTTTAGATATACACTACATCAATTAATGCATACATATGTATACAAACAATATACTGCTTAACTCCGTCCACTGAGAGGGTCTAAAAATAATGGCACCACAACAGCAAAGAACCCACTCAGCACAAGGTTCCTTGTGGCTGATTTGATGGCTGGCGCAGGAAATTACAAGATGAAACAGAAGTTTCATCCTTGTAGCACCCAAAACTTAAAAAGTGCTAAAATTTCCATTTTAACTAAATTGCTTGTCATGACAGAATTTTGTTACAATGAAACTTTACTATTACTAGATAGATACTCCATTTATGAATAATGACTACTGATGCTTCCCTTCTTTTATCACAAAAATGAACCTCTCTGCATTTCCTAACGTAAAGTACAAACAAGTAAAGAAGGGAGCACATTTAAAAGAAAAGTTAGTTAGAAATTAGTCACAAAATTAAATCATACCGTGCAACATTCAAACTTTTTACCAGTTCATCTAGTACTCGGTTATTTCTCAGCTCTGGTTCTGTGACTGTCTAGAAAAAGAAAAAAATTTTATCAGAAAAGGTGAGGAACAGTATTTAATTTGTCAGTCTTTATTTCTAAAATTGTGTGACCCATCTTCTTGAAACTACTTATCCCACTAGTCTTCCAGGAGTGCCAAAAATGTTTATCTACAAATAATAAAGGATTTTTAAATGATTACTCAATATTCATTGTCTGAATGCCTAATAAAAAGATCCCAAAGTGAAAAAAAAAAATCTCAAAAGCATCTGGTAAAGTAATATACACTTCTCTGTGTATATTTACAGAGCTCTACTGGCCTAGTGC